ACTTCTAGGAAGCTCCCTGGAGAGTAAGAAGACAACTGACCTAACCACTTGCTTTTCATCCTGCTGGCAACTGCTATTCAGAGGTAGACTGTCCCTGAAGATGGAGGGTCCACTTACAGTAGCTGTGAATTGCTGGATACAAACATGGATAAACCTGTCAGACAAATTGAAAGTCAACATTTTCTAAGTCTGTGGCTGCCGTCCTCCTTCCATCTTCTGACGCCAAATTGCGTAATGTAGTAATCCATTGTCTGAAGAAAAGTCACTTTGTTTTTGGCTGTCCCAGTGCCGGATTTACGTATAAGCTAAACAAGCTATAGCTTAGGGCCCCACTCTCTTGGGGCCCTCCCCAAAAAAATTTAAAGGGAAAAAAACAACTGGATGTACGTTTCCAGTGGTACCTCGCATTACGAACTTAATTCGTTCCAGAGGTCCGTTCTTAACCCGAAACCATTCTTAACCTGAGGTGTGCTTTTGCTAATGGGGCCTCCTGCTGCTGCCGTGCAATTTCCGTTCTCATCCTGGGGCAAAGTTTGTAACCCGAGGTACTATTTCTGGGTTAGCAGAGTTTGTAACCCAAAGTATTTGTAACCCGAGGTACCACTGTATAAGATAAAAATCAAATAAAAGAAAACCCACCTACAGCAACAGTGTTTTGTGTTGCCTGCTCCCTCAAATATCACTGGTAATTATTTCACTATTAATATACTTCTTAATTGTATTTCAGTTCAACAATTACCGTATTTTTCCATGTTTAAGATGCCCCCTATTTGGGGGGACTCAAAATTAAGAAAATGAACTATGCAATATCTGTGTAGAAGATGACCCTTTATTTTAAACTTCAAAAATTTAGCGGGAAAATATAGTCTTATACACAGAAAAATGTGGTACTTTGATAAAATACATATTTTGTTATGCGCAAATGGCTTGAGATACCTATGAGGTCCATAAATATACCATATAGCATATATCCAACACAAAAAACAGGGACAATTTGTTGTTGCCAAAGGACAGCTGGACATATCAAGGGCCCCAATACCTTCAGTAGCTTAGGGCCTCATCCAACCTAAATCTGGCCCTGGCTGTCCTGAATCCACCACCCAAGAATTTCAACTTTTAGTACCATTGTTGTAAATAAAATTATGCCCTTTTCCCTTATGGGGTATCCAAGAGCCCATATAGAGTCCTTACATAGTTTCCCTATTGGTTAGGAGAGAATAACAGAGGCCAACCAGAGAATATTGAGAAGCAAAGCAGCTAGTAAGCTTGATCTTTATTGATCTGTTGCAACAGGGTGCTCCCCTCACACGCAGGAAAAGAGGAGGACCCAGAAAAATGCTGTGCAAGGGCTTATAAAGACTTTTGAAATTCCCATCCTGTAGATCAAGACCACCCCCAGAAACATACATACATCACAGAAGGGGTGTAACCTAAGACCACCCCCAGATACATCATGCATACATCACAAAAAAGGTGGTCTAATAGGCGGTCTAAACAGAAATTTAAATGTTGTTTATCTCTTGTCCTTGTTTATCTCCGTCTACCAGGTTACTTGATTGGATTTCCTGGGGAGCCTGGCCAGTCTTTTGTAATGATAAATACTTATTTCCTGGGCCAGGTCCTTAATGTGTCCTTAAGACAGGATTTGTGAGGAAATAGACAATGGGGAGACTTTTCCAGTTTGACCTTGCAGAGAAAACATTTGGTCAGTTTAGGAATCAAAATGGTTCCAGGTTGGTCTTCGTGTGCTGACCTATGTATGTGCGGTTATGAACATTACCATATATCTAAGACCATAAAACTCCTATCACACCATGGAAGAGGGAGAAACTCCTCACCCCCTGTCTTGCCTCTTACCAGGCACCGTGTTATTATTGGAAGTTTCTGAGCAGAGGGTAGATGGCCAACTTTCAGGGATTCTGTAGCTGTGATTCCTGCATTGCGGGGGTTGAGCTAGATGACCCCTGGGTGTCCCTTGCAACTCTACAGTTCTATAAAACTCTACCGTGCCCTACCTTTGCCTAGATGACTTCCCTCATGACACTAAATAGCCTCAGGATACTTCCACACTGGATGTTTTCCTGCAGAATAAGCAGTCTTCGTTCACCCGCTTTTTACAGACCCCTGCATGGCGTCATGATCAAAATATGCTCTCCTCAACCTCATTTTCCTCCATCAGCTTCTGCTTTCTTATTCAGAGCCCAGAATATCTTACTTTTTCTTTTAGCGCAGGGTCCTGTCCATACTGAAAATAAAATCCATGCACCAAAGGAAGGAAATGGTGAAGCGCTTCCCATGTATAATTTTGAAGGAAAATGTCACCAGTTCTTTCACTGCAACGCTTCAGCAGCTAGAAGTTTTTTAAGAAACACGTGACGTGTTGATTCCTTTATTGTAAATGGAGCCTTGCACTGTCTACTCAGAAGTAAGCACCACTGTATTCGATGGAGCTTACTCCCAGGTAACTGGGTAAAGACTGGGCGGCCTTACACTGCGATCCTAAGCATTTTTACTGGGAACTAAATCCCACTGAGTTCAATAGGATTTACTCTCTGGTATGTTCCTCATCATTCTCTATGTTTCTATTATTATTATTATTATTAGTAGTAGTAGTAGTAGTAGTATTACCCGCCTTTTTCCCTGACAAGGACTCAAGGCAGGTTTATTTCACTCCATTTTTCTGCATCACCTTGCCAACAAAGGTCCATATAGTGAAAGCTATGGTTTTCCCAGTAGTGATGTATGGAAGTGAGAGCTGGACCATGAAGAAGGCTGATCTCCGAAGAATTGATGCCTTTGAATTCTGGTGCTGGAGGAGACTCTTGAGAGTCCTATGGACTGCAAGAAGATCAAACCTCTCCATTCTGAAGGAAATCAGCCCTGAGTGCTCACTGGAAGGACAGATCCTGAAGCTGAGGCTCCAAGACTTTGGCCACCTCATGAGAAGAGAAGACTCCCTGGAAAAGACCCTGATGTTGGGAAAGATGGAGGGCGCAAGGAGAAGGGGAGGACGGAGGGCGAGATGGTGGGACAGTGTTCTCAAAGCTACCAGCATGATTTTGACCAAACTGCGGGAGGCAGTGGAAGACAGGAGTGCCTGGCGTGCTCTGGTCCAGGGGGTCACAAAGAAGCGGACACGACTAAATGACTCAACAACAATTTTTTTCTGCTCAATGTGATGTGTATATGATGTCTATGTGAACCGAGGAATGTTGGAGGGGATGAGCTTCTGCAGTAAAAAGTTTCCCTCTCTCATAACTCCAGAACTTGCAGACACCCAATGAAGCTGAGCCTTGGAAGATTTAGGGTATATAAAAGAAAGGGCCTCTTCACGCAGACTGTGGAACTCATTCCCACTGGAGACACCAAATTGTTTCAAAAGAGGAAACGTGATCTTGGCTTCTATGCTTTGTTTGCTTTCTGGTTCCCCTCTTTCAGCTCAACTTCCACTTTTCAAGGAATGCCTGAGGGTGAACTTGGCCCCAGTTCAACTATGGGGGGGGGGCCAACCCAGAGGTTGGGCTTCCCCTGCTGTCACCGCTTTGCGGTTTTGGAAAGCTCTAAATATGACCGTCCCCTGGGAGAAGGAAGCACATGGGCCAAGATAACCCACGAGTGTCAGGCAGACGGACAGAAACCCTGACCCACCCCTGCCTGGGAGACAAATAAAGACGCAAAGGTAGGACTGGGGGGGGGGTCCTAATCCCAGTTTGGACCTGCTGGGTAGCACTCTAGGGAACTGGGATTGGGTGGGCGATGTCCTCGCAAATTCTCATGCGCAGAGGGTGCCTTTTGGGGCAGGACTTTGAAAAAGACTTCAAGACGAGGAGCAGGGGGGAGCTCTGTGAGGGGAATAAGGGGGTCTCCTCACAACTGTCCACACCTGAAGAAAAAGACAGCTCCCAGAATCCTTTGGGGGAAGCCGGTTCTGTTCAAAGTGTCTCATAGCGCTTTTTATTTAATTTTTTTATTTTATAACATATAAAACACATACACATGCATTTACACAATACACATACAAAACACACTACTTAATTTTCATAATGTAAAACATACCTACATTACTCTATATAATACCTACCTGTACTATACATGGGACGCGGGTGGCGCTGTGGGTTAAACCACAGAGCCTAGGGCTTGCCGATCAGAAGGTCGGCGGTTCGAATCCCCACGACAGGGTGAGCTCCCGTTGCTCGGTCCCTGCTCCTGCCAACCTAGCAGTTCGAAAGCACATCCAAGTACAAGTAGATAAATAGGTACCACTCTGGCGGGAAAGTAAACGGCGTTTCCGTGCGCTGCTCTGGTTCGCCAGAAGCAGCTTAGTCCTGCTGGCCACATGACCCGGAAGCTGTATGCCAGCTCCCTCGGCCAATAAAGCGAGATGAGCGCTGCAACCCCAGAGTCGGCCACGACTGGACCTAATGGTCAAGGGTCCCTTTACCTTTAAGAAGGTAAAGAGTAACAACTTTTGGAATGCAGTTAAACTTTGTTTGTGTCTACTCTTCTTTGTTACCTTGAGAACCTGACTGAGATTAAGTGATTTTACCAGGGAGGACCTGGTTGGTGGCAGCGGATTAGTGGTGTACAGGTCAATAGTCCGTGAGACGACTGGGGACTCCACAAAGACCTTTAAAGCCAGTCTTGTTGACATTACGAAGGAGTTTATGGGCATGGAGTAGAAGTCAGGGGCAGCACAGAGATGACCCACACCCAAATCTCTTTGGTGGCCCCTGGTCTGGCCTCTCCGTGTGCCAGGGCTACCTCTAGATGTTTTGGGGTGTTGACTGTTTTTCAGGGCTACTGTACTTCAATTAAAAGCTTGCCCTCTTTCAGCTGGCTGAGTCGGATGGGAGTCGTGGTCCAAAACAGTTGGGGGGCACCAGGATGGGGAAGGCTAGCTCCACCAATCCTTTAACTTCATCCTGCCTCTTCGTTTACTTCTCACCTCCTTCTGCCCTCCACACAGGCATCTCTGACCCAGTTCTGGAGCCCGATTCACAATGAGCCGGGACTACAACGACCTTGCGACTATGAGTGAGGAGGGTGACTGTGAAATTCAGCTCCGAAACGGTATGTCGGCTAGGTGGGATTTTGACGTGGGCAAAGAGGGATATGGGGAAGCAGGTCTACATAGGGAAAGGCTAATAATAATAATAATAATAATAATAATAATAACAACAACTTATTATTTGTACCCTGCCCATCTGGCTGGGCTTCCCCAGCCACTCTGGGCTGCTTCCAAAAAAATATTAAAATACTGTAATACATCAAACATTAAAAGCTTCCCTAAACAGGGCTGCCTTCAGATGTCTTCTAAAAGTCTGGTAGTTGTTGTTTTCTTTGACATCTGGTGGGAGGGTGTTCCACAGTGTGGGCACCACTACCAAGTAGGCCCTCTGCCTGGTTCCCTGTAGCTTTGCTTCTCGCAATGAGGGAACCGCCAGAAGGCCCTCGGAGCTGGACCTCAGTGTCCGGGCAGAAAGATGGAGGTGGAGATGCTCCTTCAGGTATACTGGGCCTTTGGGGCCATTTAGGGCTTTCAAGGTCAGCAAAGACACTTTGAATTGTGCTCAGAAACATACTGGGAGCCAATGTAGGTCTTTCAAGACCGGTGTGATATGGTCTCCGCAGCTGTTCCCAGTCACCAGTCTGGCCTGTCTCCTTCTGGCCTGTCAGCTAAGAATAGCCATGGGGTCCTTGTGCGATGGGTGAGGACCAAGGAAGTTAGTGAAGCTAGCTCTGTTGACCCATGCCTACCTTCCCGAAAGAGCAAGGACTAGTTCAAGATTGATTACTTCCAAGAAATGAGCATACCATACAGTCACATCCGACACCTACAAATCCACTGCAACTCTATAAAATGTAGGCGGACTCCCCACTAGCCTTTTTCTCTGTAATTGGGATAGGGGTTCCTTGGGGCTACTGTGCCTTCAGTTAAAATGTTCCTTCCTTCTCTCCACCACATGCCATAGTAGCTGTGAGGTCTTTTGGCACTTCCTGCTGAGTGTTGCTGAGGGATTATAGTGATTAAGGTAAAGGGACCCCTGACCATTAGGTCCGGTCGTGGCCGACTCTGGGGTTGCGGCGCTCATCTCGCTTTACTGGCCGAGGGAGCCGGCGTCCAGCTTCTGGGTCATGTGGCCAGCAGGACTAAGCCGCTTCTGGCGAACCAGAGCAGCGCACGGAAACGCCGTTTACCTTCCCGCCGGAGTGGTACCTATTTATCTACTTGCACTTTGACTTGCTAGGTTGGCAGGAGCAGGGACCGAGCAACGGGAGCTCACCCCGTCGCGGGGTTTTGAACCGCCGACCTTCTGATCAGCAAATCCTAGGCTCTGTGGTTTAACCCACAGCGCCACCCGCGTCCCATCCTTATGCCATATAATTATGAACTATTACTGATCACACTATAACTAAAATTTGTAATTCAACAAATCAGTATGGCAAATTCAGCCCACACTTTCCCCTGTCTCATAATCTTTCTGCCTCTGATCCCTGTCCCTTCTCCACCTCCTCTTCCTCTCAAACTGTGGCCTGCTTTCCACCCTTCCTTCAGTCACCCTCTTTCTGAGCTTCCCCTCCATCTATGAACTCTGCTCACTCCCTGGCCTTCCCTACAAAACTCCTCCTTTCCTTTAGGGCCTGTGTGAAATCACTTTCCCCCTGGGTGACAATTTCCCCTTCCCTCAAAGAAGCTGGCCTGCAAACATCCCGACCGTTTTTACTGCCTGGTTGCTAGGAATGCTCATAAACATCACAGCATTGCAGCCAAGTGGTGTCAGAAGTGTCAAGCAACGTTGACAGATAAATTACTGGAGAAGATCTAAAATGCAAGCTGGAGTTGAGGGTGGATTCCTGACCGATGTCCCTTCTCCTCAGCCTCCCAGAAACGCCCCCCGGGCCTATCATGGAGGCAACGAATCTGCCCCAGCCGTCGCCTGGTCCTGATCCTGCTGGGAGTGGGCGCCATCCTCACCATCGCAATCATTGTCTTTGGCGCCAAAGGTGAGTTCTTCATCATTTGAAGGGAGAACGTTTAAGCCTGTCGTAGCCTCCAGTCTGGATTGCTTTAAAAGAGGACTGTGTAGATCCAGAAGGACATGTCATATGTTCTTATGTTCTTGCCCCCACCCCAGGCAGTGACCACATCTCTCAGTTATTGGGGTTGAAGGATGAAATCACAAGCATGAATCAAAGTGTTGGTGAAGGGATGGTTGCTTCCCAGCACAAGGGTAAGTGAAGGCAGCACTGTGGGTTCAAAGGAAAGTGAAACCTGTTCTTTTCTTTTCTTTTTCAATATATTTTTATTATTTTCATTAATAAAACATAAAATATAACAACATTACAATAATCAATCAAATGCATTTGCTCCGCTGAGTTCATGACTTCCCTCCCTCCCTTCAACTGGTTTCCTTCTTCCTCATAAATTGTACACACCTTTCTATTGTCCGTTTCTGTCCTTTAATACATATCCAATCCTTCTATTGTCTATGGTCAGATACTATTACTATACAGTCATACCTCATGTTACGTTTGCTTCATGTTACGTTTTTTCAGGTTGCGTCCCGCGGCGACCCGGAAGTACCGGAAAGGGTTACTTCCGGGTTTCACCGCTCACGCATGCGCACAAGCGCCAAATCGCACCGCGCACCTGCGCAGATACGGCGCTTCAGGTTGCGGGCTTTTCATGTTGCGAACAGGCCTCTGGAATGGATCCTGTTTGCAACCAGAGGTACCACTGTACTGTGTTGCAGAATTTATGTAAGTTCTGCTGGTGTCTTCAGCTTTTTACAATAGCCTCCAACAATAGCTACCTTTTTACAATAGCTACCAACCCCAATTTGTGCATTTGCAGAGGCAGACACGGAAGCGAAAATGAAGGACCTGGAGGGGAAGGTCAAAGAGCTAGCAGAGAAAGAGGAAGCAGGTGAGTTGAGGAGGCACCACCTGGTGCAAAATGTCTGCATGGAGAACTTGGGCAATCACTTTTGAAGGCAGCAATACTTCTGAATCACTCTCGTGCTCGGATCCTGTTTGTGGGTTTCCCTATTGAGGCAACTGAGCGGCCACTGTGAGAACAGGATGCTGGACTAGGAGGGCCATTGGCCTGATCCAGCTAAAGGCTCTTCCTATGCCCACTCCCCAGCACCTTAAAAAGCAGAGACATCACCTTGCCAACAAAGGTCCGTATAGTTAAAGCTCTGGTTTTCCCAGTAGTGATGTATGGAAGTGAGAGCTGGACCATAAAGAAGGCTGATCGTCGAAGAATGGATGCTTTTGAATTCTGGTGCTGGAGGAGACTCTGGAGAGTCCCATAGACTGCAAGAAGATCAAACCTCTCCATTCTGAAGGAAATCAGCCCTGAGTGCTCACTGGAAGGACAGATCCTGAAGCCGAGGCTCAAGAGATTGACCTCCTCATGGAAAAGACTCCTGGAAAGAGGTTGGGAAAGATGGAGGGTACAAGGAGAAGGGGACGACGGAGGACGAGATGGTGGGACAGTGTTCTCGAAGAGACCAGCATGAGTTTGACCAAACTGCGGGAGGCAGTGGAAGACAGGAGTGCCTGGCGTGCTCTGGTCCAGGGGGCCACGAAGAGGCGGACACGACTGAACAACAACAACATGTCCTCTCCCAATGCTGACAATCCTCCACCTCCAGGATGTAATAAGGCAGCAGCCTGGAGCCCCTGCAGATGTTTAATTATGGGAACCTGCAATCAGGATCCGAGCACAAGAGCAACTCTCTCGTCCTGGGGTTTCCAGCAACTGGTGTTCAGAAGCATCGCTTCCTCTGACTCTGATGGGAGAGCATTGCAATCCTAGTTTATAGCTAGTGGAATCATATGGGGAAGTTTCAGGAGGGAGGAGAGCAGGGGATAGAAACCTTTTTCTTTTTATAAATGATATTTATTAAGTTTGCCAATTTAACGATCCAATAAAAACCACATCCAATCATTCCAAATTAAAATACAACAAAACGCCCAAAGAAGCATGCCAAATTATAAATCTTTGGGTGACTTCCCACGCTCTGAAGTTCAGGGAGTGATGATCTAATATTGTTAATTAAGCATCCTTAATTAGTCAGATAGACCTGATAAACGGAAGAGGCAGGAATGAAGATTTGGAGATATGCTTCAGAGGTCCAGACTATGGGGAGCCCGAAAAAAATTAATAATTACAATTTGGACTATAATTTGGTGGGTTTTTTTATTTTTAATTGGATTATGATTCGGATATCTTGATTGGGTGTTTTTATTGGACAATCAATAAAAATGATTAAAAAAAAAGATAGTCCCGATAAACATTTCTGATGTTGATCCTTCATTTATTTTTAACAGTTCTTTTAAACAAGCGGGTTAGTCCTTTGTAGTTCTGTGTGAAATATTGTCCTGTAATCCAACGTTCACTTTCACTTTCTTAATGCGTCACAGCCAAGATTGAGAGAGATGTCGCCTTTTTTGCCATTGGTGCTGGGCAGATACCCAAAATTTCCTCCTGTCATCTTTTTCCAGCTGCTAGCGAGTTGATGTTTCTGTAAAAAAAAACCACGCCACAGTTCCCATCATAAATTCTTTTTATCATTCCATTAAAGGTCTTTGCCAGAATCATAGCCCAGATTTCACACAGTCAATTTTGTAGCGAAACCATGACAATAACGACAGCAAGACACCCTTTCAGCCCCGCTTGCTTATTTCAAACCGTCCTTCAGGAAAGATTTGCCGAATAAAACAGCAAATGCGAAATATATCAAGAGGAAGTAATGGAGGCTCGCTTCCTCCAACATACCGATAGTTGCAAGGAAAGTCCTTCTCCAGGTCGAATCCTTGGCACCCAGTGGCTGAATCAGTTAGCAGAGTACTTTATCTCCCCTAGTTCAGAGCATGTCTGTTAGCTAAGTCCGAATTTTATCTTTAAAAAGCAGGTGTCCGCTGCTCATGGCGACAGCTTTGGAGAGTTGCCAAAACACACGGTAAAATGCACACAGCGCCTCCTGCCCCCCACATTCCTTCAGAGCGGGCGGCAGGTATCGGACGATCTGTGGGTGAAGAGTTGGGAGGATAATTACTCCCATATTATCCTTGATTAGCACGAAAAGGAATGGGTACAGCCATTCGCCATGGCAGACAAACAGGAGGTCCCGATAGAAACCTGCTCCTCCGTGGAGCCTTCGACGTTTTTGCAAATGTTCCTGGTCTGTGTGCATTTCCCCCCTCTGAAAGTCAAATGTGGCTGCCTAACTAGCCACCTCCCCCAGTGTGGTGTAGTGGTTAAGAGCGGTAGTCTCGTAATCTGGGGAACCGGGTTCGCGTCTCCGCTCCTCCACATGCAGCTGCTGGGTGACCTTGGGCCAGTCACACTTCTCTGAAGTCTCTCAGCCCCACTCACCTCACAGAGTGTTTGTTGAGGGAGAGGAAGGGAAATGAGAATGTGAGCCCCTTTGAGACTTCTTTGGGTAGTGATAAAGCGGGATATCAAATCCAAACTCCTCTTCTTCTTCTTTTATGTTTTTTTCCTCTCTCTCTTCGCTCTCACCAGCCAAGACGCAACTCCTGACCCGGCTGAAAGACATGCAAAAGAGCTTCCGACTCATGTATTGCGAGCTCGAGGATTTCAAGAACAACCGAACAGGTCAGGAGGGGGGCAGCCGGAAAACGGGTGGGGTGGGGGGCTAAAGAGGTGGGATGTTCTCCCCAGGGACGGGCGGCAAAAAAGTTCCTCAGGCCTTTGACTGATTAATATTCTACAGCCTTTTAAATGTGCCTTTGGGGGGGGGGTGTATCATTTTGCTGTTTTCCTTCATTTAGCTTCATGTTTTTATCCTGTATTCATGGTTTTTATCCTGTGTACTGCCCTGAGATCTTACAATGAAGGGCGGTATAATAATAATAATAATAATAATAATAATAATAATAGAATTTATATACCGCCCTGTACCTGGAGGTCTCAGGGCGGTGCACAGAACAAAATTAAAATATAAAACCACAAAATATATAATCAAAATAAAAACAACAACCCAATAAGCCCCCCCCCCAAGCCACATTTTACAAGGGCATGGGATAATAATAATAATAATAATAATATTAAAAAATAATACGACGTCAGACATTAAAAACTTCCCTGAACATGGCTGCCTTCGGATGTCTTCTAAAAGTCTGGTAGTTGTTGTTCTCTTTGACATCTGGTGGGAGGGCGTTCCACAGGGCGGGCGCCACCACCGAGAAGGCCCTCTGCCTGGTTCCCTGCAACCTCACTTCTCGCAGGGAGGGAACCACCAGAAGGCCCTCGGAGCTGGACCTCAGTGTCTGGGCTGAACGATGGGGGTGGAAACGCTCCTTCAGGTCTACTGGGCTGAAGATGTTGGAGAATTACAGCGCCTGTTGTGGCTGTAGAGACTGATATGGGAGAGATGTGTTTTGTTGCAACTGAGGCGACTGAAGGTGTCAGGTTGTGCTGCTACAGATGTACCGTGGCATTTCTTCTCTTTGTGCTCCTCCCTGCGGTCATTCCTCCTCTGGTCACTGCTGGGGACACATGACCTGATAGTCTGTCTTCTGGCTGAAATCAGTGGACTTCCGCTGTTTCATTGGGTCTATACAGAGTTTGACTATTGCTCCCTTTATCTTCCTCCCTTTGTGTTGTCTGATCTTCCAGCTAACCCAAAGGAATGTTGTCCGAAAGGGTGGGACTTCTTTCGTAAAAGCTGTTACTGGGAGTCTGGAAAGAGTAAATCCTGGGAGGAGGCCAAGGTCAACTGTGAAGTCCAAAATGCCCACCTGGTGATCATCGACTCCATTGAGGAACAGGTAGGTGCCCAGTAGGTTTTGTGTTGGAGAGAGCGGTTTGGAAGAGATGTGTAGCAGAGTTAGCACTAAAAAAAGTAGTATAAACACCGACAACTGGGAAACACTGGCTTGCGAGCGCTCCAGTTGGAGAACAGCCTTTACCAAAGGTGTCGTGGGCTTTGAAGACACTTGAACTCAGGACGCAAGGGAGAAACGTGCTAAGAGGAAGGCACGCCTGGCAAATCCACACCGTGATCAACTCCCGCCTGGGAACCAATGTTCCCACTGTGGAAGGACGTGTGGGTCCAGAATTGGCCTCCACAGTCACTTATGCACTCATTGTTAAAACCATGTTTATGGAAGACAATCTTACAATCTTCGGCTACAAGAGATCGCCAAAGAAGATTGCTCCAAGCACATTGAAACTTGGTTAGATTTACACCTGCCCACTTCCACCTTTAAACAGATGTTCCCCACAAAAATACCTAGGCTAGAATAAATCACAGGCGCTTGGCTTTGCAAATAGGTGAAGGTTTTACTCACAGAGTTCCAGGCATAACAGCCAACAAGTCACAATCTGTTGGCAGTAAAGCAAATCTGTTGGCAGTAAAGCAAAGAAGAAAAAGATTCCCCCTTGCAAAATGGCGTTGAAAATGTGTCATTAGCGCTAGGGTGCTAATGCGTTTTCATTGGGGTTCTCCAAAAATAAAAAAATCGATGTGGAAATGTAAAGAACTGAATTTAAGATGGGGGAAACTGAGAGCAAGTTAAGAGATCCTTCTGTTTCCCTCCCCTCTGTGCTTTTTTTCCACGCCAGCAATTTGTGGCCGTCCGTGTGCACCCGCAGTATATGTGGATCGGCTTGACTTACACCAGCGGGAGCTGGAAGTGGGTGGACGGAAGGCCCTATACATTTAGCCAAGGGTAAGTTCGCGGGCGGCAGTGTGGCCAACCCATAATGCAATGCGGGGCACGCTAGGGGCTGGTGCCGTAAAGTAGCAGGCCCTGCCAAAGTCCTTCTGGAGCGAAGACTTTGGCCACCTTCACACCATACGTTCAAAGCCCTGGGGTACAGCTTTAAACAGTCCTGGCTTCCCTCCAGAGGATTCTGGGAGCTGTGGCATGTTCGGGAGACTTCCGAGGAACTGTCTGTTCCTCTCACAGAACTACAATTCCCAGATTTCCCTGGGAGGAGGGATTGATTGTTAAACCACTCTGGGAATTGCAGAATAGGGGTCAGCGGGGTCTGCCTCCTCTCCTCCCTCTTTCCTCTTGCAAATTTATTATTATTATTATTATTATTATTATTATTATTATTATTATTTCAATTTATACACCGCCATATACATGGAGGTCTCAGGGCGGTTCGCAACAAGACCACAACATAGAAAAGCAAACCAAAATTCACCTCTGTTGTTGCAAATTATTATTGTTGTTGTTATTATTATTATTAATTCAATTTATACACCGCCCTATGCCCGGAGGTCTCAGGGCAGTTCACAACAAGAGCACAACATAGAAAATCAAACCACAAGCAGTAACCCAATAACCCCCCCCAAGCCACATTCTAAAAGGATGTTGGATGTCAATAAGATCAACCAAAGGCCTGGTGAAAAAGGAACGTTTTTGCCTGGCACCTAAAGGTGTATAATGAAGGCACCAGGCAAACTTCCCTGGTGAGAGTATCCCTCAGACGGGGAGCCACCACAGAGAAGGCCCCGTTCTTGCATTGCCACCCTCCGGACCCCTTGAGGAGGTGGCACATGAAGAAGGGCCTCAGAAGATGATCTTAGGGTCTGGGTTGGTTCTTGAGGTACTGCGATCCTGAGCCATTTAAGGCTTTATAGATCAAAACCAACACTTTGAATTGGGCCTGGAAACTAATCGGTAGCCAGTGCATTCGGACCAAGATCGGTGAAATATGCTCAAACCGTCTGCTCCAGTGAGCAATCTGAATTCTGCACCAGCTGAAGCTTCTGAACCAAATTACTGCATAGATTCTCTAGGCCCCACCCCCTGTGACATCACTCCTGGACTTCACCAGGGGCCACCCCTAAGACACAGATATAGGCCCTGCAGTCTCAGGATGTGGGGTGCTCCTGACTTGGGAACCCTAATTGGAGGGCAATGGTTCATCAAAGCATGTGGTTTTAGCCTCAGGCTGAGCCCCTGTCCCTCTGGACCTAGAATTTCAACCTCTCAACCCCTTTGCTGAGTAACCAAGTAGATTCCGCGCTCCTGCTTCCCGGGCCTGAACCTGGAGGGGGTTTTGAGGATCGCAACCCGTGTCTTCACCTCTCCTTTCCCTCCCCGTGCCCCCGTCTAGGGACTGGGTTCCAGGTCAGCCAGATAACTCTTCCAGCCATGGACTTTTGGGAGGAGAGAACTGCGTCCACTTCCACAGCGACGGCCGCTGGACCGACGACCACTGCTCTCTCGACTTTGGCTGGATCTGCGAGATGGAGATGACCGATTAAGGCGGCGGAAATTGGGTGTAACCAGGATTTATTTTAGGGGGGCAGGCTTTAAGTTAGTGGGGCCCAGAACCGAGTTACATACAATGCAATTGGTCAGTTAGTTAAGTATTTTTATTTATTTACTTGATTGGAGGGCAATTGCCCATACGACAGAAATCTGACCTCCAGCAGAAACTCAGACCCCAGCAGGTTTTGCAACGGAAAAATCCAAATTGGAAACAGAGTTGTTAGATACCAATGTTAAAAACCTATCCAAAATGTATAATTTATTGTTGGAGTGGCATACAAAGGATGAACAAGTTAAATATGTAACGATAGATTAGGCAAGAGATGTTGGACACAATATAATGTTAGAAGATTGGGAAAGGTTGCGGAAGAAAGGGGTTAAGTTCACTGCATGTACTGCATTAAAAGAAAACATTATGAAAATGATGTATCGATGGTACTTAACTCCAGTAAAATTAGTAAAGATTTACCACACAAACGATAATTTATGTTAGAAAAAGAAGGCACCTTTGATCATATGTGGTGGACGTGTCCCAAGGTGAAGGACTTCTGGGAAAAGATTTATAATGAGTTGAAAAAAATGTTGAAAAATACATTCGTTAGTATTGGAATGTGTTTTCTTTTGTGTGTTTTATATGTTATGTCTGTTATAAATGTGGAAAATAAATTTAAAAAATTGGGGGGGGAAAGAAACTCAGACCCCAACCACCCCCTCTCAACATGGTTCTTAGTAGCTGCCAGACTTTCTATTGCCCAAAATGGGGAGAGAGAATTAACGGACCTGGTTTTGGAACGGTGGTACAAAAATGGTTGCAATTGCTGAGGAGATAACCCACAAGATTCGGGTGATAAAAGGCAAGCAATAAAGAGGACCGTTTTGTGCAATTTGGTGGGGTTTCGTATCCTACGTTTCAGATCTGCTTGAATCCTCCCTGGCACCCAAAAATGAAATTTGGCTCTGCAAACCCATGAGTTCGTTCCAAACTTTTTTCAAAGAGGGCCAGATTTGATGAAGTGAAGGGCCGTGAGGGCCGACCAAAGGGCCAACTGTGGTTGTGGAGGTTTTTTTAGGATTGAAGTTGTTGAGGTTTTTTTTTTTAGGATTTTACCCCTGCAAATAAACTGCCACATGGGCCGGATTAGGCCCCTGAAACGGACTTTGGACATGCCTTGTTTAAAATGTAGTACGGTATTCTCTACCGTCGTGTAACTGTCTCACTGATGATTTCCCAGCTTTTGGTGTTGTCTCTTTCCATTGGTTATTGTTTGCATGTAATGTAAATAAAACTTTGTAATTAAAAAATATATATTACACGTTGGTTGAATAAATTCGATTCAGTTCTCATCTAAAGACAAGTCTGCCAAAGTTGTGCATGAAACAAATACAGCTATCTGTCAATATTACATTATTTTTGAAGTTCTCCGCCCAAGGAATATGCTCACAAATGCATATGCTGTGGTAAACCTCCGCACTGTTATAGAAAAATTTGGGGTTGGCTTTTACAGCCCAACGCTCTATCGAGGAGCTTTGTGTCCCCTAAGCCTATTATCAGTCAGAGAAGAATGGATGGAGGAAGGATTTGGTCAAAGCAAAGCAGATTTTTATTTTTCTGTTGCAACAGAATGCCACACCTCGCACCTTGCAAGCAGGTGAGGACCCAGAACAAAGATGTGCAAGAACATTTAAAGACTTTAGAAATTGCCCAAACCCCTAACCAAAGACCACCCCACACATGCCACAGAAAGAGGCGGTCTACGACAGAAATTTGAGTGCATGGCTTCTCTCCTGTCTGCCAAGAGACCTGATAATGGCCACCAGTTACCTGGCCAGTCTGAGCCAGTTTTTTGAGATGGTAAATATTTTAGTTCTTGAATCCATGTCAGAGGCCTGCCCTGTGCATATACAGAATATGCCCTTAAAGCAAGATTTGAAGGATTTGAAAAGGAAAAGAATCATTGGGAGAGGTTTCCCCAAGATATTTCCCTCTGCAGAGGAACTATTTGGGGTCATTCAGAGTCAAAATGGCTTCAGGATTGCTCTCCTGTACACACATGTGGTTTATGTACTTCTGCATAGGTGTTTCCGTGTGCACTTAGGAGCATTCATTTTATTTATGACACCTATGAATTCTTATACTGTAACGGCATTAAAATGCAACTGTAATCATTTACAGATGGTCACAGCATATGAAATCAGAAGGAAGAAGTTGCAGGTGCTTTTAGGGCAAATCTCAGTCACAAATCTCTCTCTCCCCTCTCGTCCCCCCTACATTTTGGGGTGCTCCTTGAGAATGTGGAAGGGTGAGCCATCCTGATGAGCATCTCCACTTAAAAATTCCATTTTTTCCTTCTTCTTCTTCTTCTTCTTCTTCTTCTTCTTCTTCTTCAGCGACCCCTCGTAGCTGAGTAAGATTGTCTTTCATAAACACGGTTTTAACAGTGAGTCCGTAAGTGACTGTGGAGGCCAGTTCTGGATCCACACGTCCTTCCACAGTGGGGACATTGGTTCCTAGGCGGGAGTTGATCATGGTAAGGATTTGTCAAGCGTGCCTTCCTCTTAGCACGTTTCTCCCTTGCATCCTGAGTTTGAGTGTCTTCAAAGCCCATGACATCTTTGGTAAAGGCTGTTCTCCAATTGGAGCGATTGCAGGCCAGTGTTTCCCAGTTGTTGGTGTTTATACTACATATTTTAAAGATTTTCCTTGGGGGATCCTTAAACCTCTTTTGTTGACCACCAGTGTTACGCTTTCTATTTTTAAGTTCGGAATAGAGTAGTTGCTTTGGAAGACGATAATCAGGCATCTCAATAACATGACCAGTTCAACAAAGTTGTTGTTGAAGAATCATTGCTTCAACACTGTTGAATTTTGCTTCTTCCAGTACACTGGCATTAGTTCGCCTGTCTTCCCAAGCGATGTGTAAAAATTTCCGGAGACTCCTTTGATGGAATCTTTCGAGGAGTTGGAGATGGCGTTTATAAGTGGTCCATGTTTCACAAGCAGACAGTAAGGTTGCCAGTACAACAGCTTTGTGAACGAGCATTTTGGTTTCCCTGCGAAGGTCCCAGTTCTCAAACACATTGCACTTCAATTGGGAAAAAGCCGCACTCGCAGAGCTCAGGTGATGCTGGATTTCGGCATCAGTGTCAGCCCTTGTGGAAAGATAACTGCCCCGGTAGGAGAAGCGATTTACATTTTCCAACGTTACACCATTGAGTTGGATTTGTGGCGCTGCAGAGGGGTTGTTTTGTGCTTGTTGGTGCAGCACTTTGGTTTTTTGGATGTTGAGCAATAGGCCAAGCTTTTCGTAAGCTTCTGAGAAGATATTTAGGATGGTTTGGAGGTCATCCTCTGAGCGTGCACACGCTATACAAAATGCACCATTACTCCCCATGCCACAGTCACGTCTTGCAGGAATGAATCTCATAAGTTAATTCTGTGTTGTTGTGAATCATGACCCGGCTGTCCTACATGACCTAGAATGACTTCTGTAGGTGTGCCCCTGAATTCTAGGGAAATGACAAACCCCAAACGTGTCTCCGTCAGCAGCTTTCCCCTACCAGCTCAGCGCAAAAGAGGAAGCTGGAACAAAGCTTCTTGGCCACATGGAGAAACATTGCCAGATAAAATGTGCCATAAATAATTCCACTTCCAGCTTGTTCCACTGCTGAGGTCACAGGGTTTGGGGAAAAGGGGATGGGAGTTTATGAAGCTGGGCCTGGTTGGAGGAAGTGGGCAGGGGAACATTCTCTTCTCCCCCTCTTGCCAGTTGTGGGGGCCTCCCTGGTCCTGTATGGGGCAACTGTGCCCCCGAAGGACCAGGTGCGCAGCCTGGGAGTCATTCTGGACTCACCGCTGTCCATGGAGGCGCAGGTCAGTTCTGTGTCCAGGGCGGCCTGTCTACCAGCTCCATCTGGTACGCAGGATGAGACCCTCCCTGCCCGCTGTCTGTCTGGCCAGAGTGGTGCATGCTCTGGTTATCTCCCGCTTGGACTACTGCCATGCGCTCTACGTGGGGCTACCTTTGAAGGTGACCCGGAAACTGCAACTAATCCAGAATGCGGCAGCCAGACTGAGGACTGGGAGTGGCCACCGAGACCACATAACACCGGACCTGAGAGATCTGCATTGGCTCCCAGTACATTTCCGAGCACAATTCAAAGTGTTAGTGCTGACCTTGAAAGCCCTAAACGGCCTCAAAGGCCCAGTCTCCACCCCCATCGTCCAGCCTGGACACTGAGGTCCAGCTCCGAGGGTCTTCTGGCGGTTCTCTCCCTGCGAGAAGTCATGTCACAGGGAACCAGGCAGAGGGCCTTCTCGGTGGTGGCACCCGCACAGTGGAACACCCTCCCATCAGATGTCAAGGAAATAAACAACTACTTCACTTTTAGAAGACATCTGAAGGTAGCCGTGTTTAGGGAAGCTTTTAATGTTTTAAAAGAGGGCTGGACAAATTCATGGAAAGGAAGGCTATTGACAGCCACTAGCCATGATGGTTCTGGTCTGCCTCCACAGTTGGAGGATGCGATGCTTCTAAATCAGCTGCTGGAAATTGCAGGAGCTGAGAGTGGCTCTGGGGGTCAGATCCAGCCTCTTTCCCATAATGGATGTCTGGTTGGCCTCCGCAAGGACAGGAAGCTAGACTAGATGGGTCGTTGGCCTGATGGAGCAAGCTATTACAGTGGTACCTCGGGTTAAGTACTTAATTCGTTCCAGAGGTCCGTCATTAACCTGAAACTGTTCTTAACCTGAAGCACCACTTTAGCTAATGGGGCCTCCTGCTGCTGCCGCGCCACCGGAGCACGATTTCTGTTCTTATTCTGAAGCAAAGTTCTTAACCTGAAGCACTATTTCTGGGTTAGCAGAGTCTGTAACGTGAAGCGTATGTAACCCGAGGTACCACTGTAATTCTTTTTAACAACTTCTATGGGAACATAGGATACTGCCTCATATTAAATCAGATAATGGGGTTCTTCTACCTCAGTATTGTTGAGA